TGCCAGATTGAAAAGAACCCTTGGATTGCAGAGCAGGTGAGGTATCACTTGATTGACTAGGACTTTTACATAGGGAGATTTGCAAGCCTCCACAACAAGCAGATAAATATCGGAATGGATCTGTAGGCAAGAAGCTTCTCCACTGTGCACATGGATTTCGACATGAAATCCGTTTTGGCCGCACGAACGCTTCCTGCTGAGGAAATGTGCAACGAGGTTGGGGAAGATTCGTTAGAGGATATGACAAGGCTCTTATAGTCCAGAAGAAGTTGCAATGTTCTATGGTTGATGCACTATGTTGCGGAGTATAGCTATCGGTTGATTGACCAAGACTGTTAAGTAGGGAGCTTTACTTTAGAAAGCTGGAGGAGCAGCAAGAGGATCCTGCAATGATTGATTGGGCAAACAATTGCATTGGCAAAGCGATCATCGGGTACAACCGTTGCAGAATGATTGTAAGGATGCTCGAGCATCAGCCCCATAGTATGTGGCCTCGATTATCTCCACGTTTATGCATTTCAAAGGACTCCTGATACAGGTAAAGACTCGCTTCGCTTATTTAATTTAGACGGGTGTGACTAAGTTGCTTCCATGGATGTTCAGGCACAATCGGTGTCACACTGGAATGGCAATACTAAGTATCGTGTTGCTGTGGCAATGGTCTAGGCCTCTAGATTATAAAGTTCTAGAGGAAAACATCTCTTAATCTCATATAAATGTGGTGTGGACTTGTGGAACACATTCTCACCATAAACAAAGTTTCTTTTCACAAGCATCTGATTTACCAGCGGTGGAAAAACTATATGCCATTCTTCCAAGTGTCTTAGAAGAATACTTCCCCCTAGGTTCCGCAGATCTTGATTCCATGACTGGTTAAGATCACTTCCACTTTCTGATGCAGGCAGTGACGGAAAAAAAAGAGCAAGAAGTTGGTGTCGTCAAGAAATGAGGGATCAATTCTTCAACACGCGCGTCAAAACCATTGGTGTTGAATCGCTATAGTCAGATGTATATCCCTTTATATTCTGGGGAAGTTTGATTGTGTACCTGTACAAGGCTTCACTATACAGTGGAACTTTCTCAGCGAGGCCTGATTCCTCTAGGTCCTCGTTTCGAGCCTCTTTTACCGGGTGGTAGGAAACCATAGTCGACTGCTAACTGGTCCTCCTCCTCTAGCGTGAGCTTCCTACCAGTCGAGTGGGATTGTTTCCCCATGTAATTCACCCAGTTCTCGGCCATCGCATCTTTGTCGGGAATGTAGCCTGCTTAAGAAAACTCGCAACTTTTTCTATCTCGAGAAACTTAAACAGCGTACCTATCTTTGATACCCAGTTGTTTTCTTCCTGGAACAAGGAGCTGCCAAGCTTGATAGAGGATTTGCTGGCCATCACCAGACTGGAAACATCCGACCGCTCGTGCTCCTCCTTGTCATACAGTCGCTTCTCGATGACAACTCTAAAGTTTTCATCTCTTGTTCGCATCTGCAATCGACAAGGCTTCATGTTACACTTTGGAGGCAGAAAGAAAATTTAATTGGTTCTCTACCTCAACGACGGGTTGCTTTCCCTGTAGAAGATTGTCTACGCTCTTGTCCGACTGAGAAAAGCGAAAAACAGATGGATCCAGAGATCGAAAAACATATTGTTTGTACCTGGTGTGCTATCCAGTGGCTCCGCTCTCTCATCTCAATGAGTATTGAAAATGTCGGTGGAGCTTTCCTTTCGAGCACGGTTTTCTGCGTACCTCTTGCTCGTGCTTCGTCATCACCTAAAGTCACTGTTTGGATGCCACCAACCTGAAAGAAAAAAAGAAGAAAAAAAGCTCGTAAGGACGAACAAGAGCATCACGCAGAAGAAAAACTATAAATGCGATTTGATGTACCAAGTCAGAAAGCGTGGGATTCTTGATGATGTTCTCCAGTGTCTGCCCATGCGCAGTAGCAACCAGCATCACTCCTCTTTCGGCAATTGTCCGGCAGGCAAGAGCCTCTGCTTCCGTCCCAATCTCGTCCACGATCACAACTTGTGGCATATGGTTCTCTACGGCTTCCACCATAACTCTGTGCTGCATTGACGGATCTGGCACCTGCATTCTTCGTGCACCACCGATGGCCGGGTGTGGCACGTCTCCGTCACCACCAATCTCATTGCTGGTGTCCACCACCACCTGATAGCATCCATCATAGCATTAGACCATTGTCACGGACTCTCCTGGCCTCTCTGAAATGGAAAAGCGCAAAAAAGAGGAAGAAAAGAAAGATGTCCTGGGTGTGTAAGCACCACTCTCTTGCGTAGATCATCAGCAAGGACCCGCGCAATCTCTCGGATAACAGTTGTTTTTCCAACACCGGGTCTGCAGAAACAAGTTTTGAGCGAGAGGCGAAGTTTCACGAGAGTTCTGACCTGCCAAGGAATAGAATGCTTTTTCCACAGTCGAGGAGGTCGCGAACCATGTCAACATGTCCAGTCACAGCTCTCCCAACACGGCACGTCAAGCCGATGATCACGCCTTTACGGTTGCGAATGGCTGATATTCTGTGGAGTGTTCCCTCGATTCCTGCTCGATTATCACTTCCAAACTCCCCCACTGCAGCCTCGGCTGCTTGGAGATCATCCCTCGTTATCTGCAATGCAAAAAATGAAAAAAGAAGTATAGCAGAGTAGCTTAAGTCAAATGGATGGAAGCGAGTGGTTTACCTCATTGTCTCGTAAGTATTCTCCACCTCTGTGTTTTAGAAAACGAGCCTCGGGACGACGTCCAAGATCCAAGACCACCTGTGATGTGATATACCATCGCTAGAAATTCTTAGCTACTATACCAACACACACAAACCTCCAAGAGATCCCCGCGCTTGGGATGCTTCAAGAGATTTTGACGAATGCCTTCGGGAAGGATCTGCAAACAAAGAAGAAGATATGAAGCATCTTTCATGGAAGCGTGGAATTCTTCTACCTCCAAAAGAACATCCAAATCGTCCTGGACGATGATCGCGCCATCCTCCATAACTCTTTGCTCCAATGGACCAGCTTCCAACTCATCATCCTGCGAAGCCAGCGACTTCACAGCACGGAGAACTCTCCGCCGCCCTCGAAAGCTCCTCGGGAGAGACGTGACTTTGCACGAATCCAAAACTTTGGATCCATTCCTCGCGAAAGCCGACCTCTCCGACGGAACGAATGAGCGCCGGAGCCCAGCGGAGGGGCAGCAAACGCCGTAATGCATTCTCGCAAGAACTCCACCCGCCACTCCCTAGCTAAAAATCTGCAAGGATGGATGGATGGAGCATCCACCAGGAAATCTCTCCTAATCCCAATGCGGGCATCAAATACCTCGATTTGGAGGCGCTGGATCGATAGATCACTGTTCTATCACGAAATCGCAACCTCGCCCTTGCGCGAGGGCTCCTTCCCACGAAGATGAACTCCCGGACCTAAAGAAAGTCACAAACGTTGTCTCTTTCTACACGAATGCCCGGGAATATCCCACCACGGCATATCTCCAGAGATTCCATTCTCTTGTGTTATGTTAATGTTGGCCTGCAACCACGCGAGTAAATTCAACGATGGAGCTGGAGTGCAAATTCAACTTGGATCACATCACCACCAAGAAATTTACAACGCCCACCCGGGATAGAATTAAATTACCTCTCGCTCCATGCACACAATGCACCACTGGAGCTTTTGATGGAATAAGAAAGGGAAAAATGCGAGCTAGATTTTGATTCTAGCAGCAGCAGTGGCATGGGACTCGAATCGAGTGAATTTGGGTTTCTTTTGATTGTTCTGGCGATTGTTCTAGCTTCTTCACAGTCGGAAGAAGGTATGGATGATCCTGGAGAAGAAAAAATTTCCATGCCAAGTAGTTTAGTTCTTCCTCTTCAATCATCTTTCTTTCTTTATATTATTCTATCTTATTTAGTTCTTATTCTCAATTATTTCTACATTTTTTGTGTGTGGCAGGCTTTGGCTACCAAGACAATTCCCTGGGACCAGGGCAGTGGGGATGCCTCGCCACAAACTTTTCGACGTGTAGAACAGGGACCCAGCAGTCGCCCATTAACATAAAAACGCGAGATGCTATCGATGATTGCTCGCTTGGAAAGCTGAGATTCCATTTCTCCCACTCCGCAGGAACACTCACCTCTCAGAAGTACCTCTACAGAGTAAAAACTCCTCTAAATTCTGATTGCTCGAGTCAACACTTTGATCTTGTTCTATTTTATTGATCTTGCAATTATTCGTGTAGATTGGGCTGGATGGTGATGCCGAGAACACTGTGATCATTGATGGCATGGAGTTTAGGCTGGTGCAATTCCACTTCCATCACCCAAGCGAGCATTTCATTGATGGAAAAAAGTAAGCACAAAACTAGTCTGTTCCTCTTGGATTGAGAAATATCCTGGCAGGTTTGAGCTTGAAGCACACCTTGTTTATCGTGCCATAAACAACTCCTCGAGGATGGCTGTTGTTGCCCAGATGTATAAAAAAGGAGAAGAAAACAGTCTGCTTGCACAAGTAAGTGTCCATTGATCATGCATTTAGACATAATATTTATATGTATAGTACTTATATTTGAAAACAGGTTCTTGACATGAAGAACAATGTCCGAACTTTGCTAGACTTGAGGGAGTTCAATCTGGGACAAGAATATTTCAGATACATTGGGTCTCTTACAACACCTCCATGCACCCAAGGAGTAACCTGGACCATTTTGATCAAAGTATTAGTATACTTCACACTTTTTTTCTTCTAAAGTTTCTATTATTTGGTTCAGAACAAGACTGCATCCAAGCAACAGATCAAAGATCTGAAACAGTGCCTTGGGGTAAGCTACTTTATTTGTTTTACATCATGGTAATTCATGTTATAAATTGCAGGGAAGAAATGCAAGGCCATTGCAGAGAACTAATCGGCGAGAGGTTTACATGTACACTTTTTACCAGAACTTCTTAGCGAAATACTAGATTTTTTTAAATATAATTATAATAAAAATATAATTCATTGTTTCTATTATTCTACGATAGTTCTATAGATTCTTGAGATATTATTGACATGAGTGCAGTCTCAGGACTTAGCAAATTCTTTCAAAAACTTGCCGTCTTCGTATTCTTTATATCTTTCTCCATAGACGAAGCGCCGGTAGCAAACTCTGGAATGGCGACTCTTGTCCAGCAGCGAGCTCGCAGGGCCGATCTGGGCTTTCTCCGATGGCTCAAAGGTGATAGCACACGAGCAGCGTGGCTTGCACTTGTCCAAGATCACCCTATGAGTAGTAGCTCGGTAGATTCCATTGCTCATCACCTAGAAAAAGTTTAGAAGCTCTTGAAAGAAGCTGCATCTTAGCTCTAGATAGATTTACCTCCATGATCTCTCCGAAGCTCACGATGAAAGATCCAGGGAGTGGTTTCACTGTATGCCACTTGCCATCTCCTTCAAGGAGCACTTGCAAAGATGGGACTCCATCGGCAAAGAGGAGAACCAAAGTTCCAATATCTGTATGCTCTGGAATTCCATAAATCTCTTCTCTCTCTTCTTCCTTCTCGTTGTTTGGATAGCTGAAAGTGCAGAAGGTTTGCTTCAGTTCACCTTGGCACAAAGTGTCTCGCAGATAGAGTGGATCTAGATCCAAGGCCATGGATAGCGCAACTATAAGTTTCTCGTAGACTTTGGTGGTGCAAACCCCCAGCTCTTCTACCAAATCCCTGAAACAGTGATAAGAAACGTATAAAACTCTCGGAAAAGAACTATACTTGTGAGAGTCTGGCCACTTCCGTGGATCTCTCCTCGAGAGCGGCCGCAAGAACAAGTAGAGATGCTCGCGTTTGATCTTTATCCCAACGTTGGAAGGAGAAGGATTGAAGCCCTCTTTGCGGTAGCCGGAATCCGCCAAGAACTTGCTCTTGTAGTCGAGATCTTGCGCGAAGAACTCCTTTTGGTGATCCAGCACCCTCTGGAGCAGCTCCACCGGGACGCCATGGTTCACTAGGCGAACGAAGCCAAACTTGTCGTGTGCTTTGCGGATCTGCGCCGCCACAATGGTAGTGGAGCTTGAGAGATCGATAGAAGGGAGCTCCAACATGGTGTCGATTGATCAATTATACAAAGAGATGGAGAGAAACTTTAAAACTCTTCCTTTTGCCAGAAGGGTATCTCTTTTGTTGATTAGGACAGCGCTATGGCGATGTTTGTGGAGAGGAGCTGGAACGTTAACGCTTTCGGTGCTGGGATTGATCAAAGGCGTAGTGCTTGTGGAGCCCAAATTGCCTGGCCATCCCCAGATGACCATGGAAGCTGCTGCTCGATTCACAGGATACGGGAATCCAAGATTGTCGCTTGCCTCAGGGCTCACAGGTAGATATGTGCATTTGTCCCGATCATCTTTTCCCCTTTTTCTTTGGAAGCTCTCCTTTCCTGAAGTATGAAAACAAAACTTTGCAGCTCAAAGCTGGCACTAGATGCTGCTCGCGCTGCATTGGATGGAGGATTGGACGTGGTGAGTCCGATCAAAGCTTCTCTCTTTGAGTGATAGAACTTTCTTTGTTTTGCTCCTTTACAGCTCGAAGTAACTATGACTACTCCAGGAGCTAGCAAGGTGCTCTCTTTTCCCCAAAATTCATGTACAAACTCTAGAGCTTTCTTCTTACTGTAGGTGATCGCCACGCTGGTTCACGAGTATCCATCAGCACTTATAGGAGTAAGTCAAGTCTACTGGAAAAAAAAAAGTTAAAACTCTTTGTCTTTCAGGCTGGGACTGTTTTATCTCTCGATCAAGCTGAGGAGGCCAAGGCTAGCGGAGCAACGTTTCTCCTAAGTCCCATCACCGTGAAGGTGCTACTTTTATGTTTTGGCTACAAGAATCAATCACTTTCAACTTAGAAACTCCAAACATAAAATCGCTCAGGAGCTCGTGGAAATCCACTCGGTCGGGCCTGTGTTGTTCGTCCCAGGAGCAATGACACCAACAGAAGTACGTTCTTCGATTTTTTTCTTTGAAAAACTGGATTTTTCTTTCATTTTTAACCAGGTGTATACTGCTCATAGCTATGGAGCACACATTGTCAAGGTTCGTGTCGCAAAGAACTATTTGGTATAAACTTTTTCTTGTTTAGATTTATCCCACAGACCTCGCTGGTGGTGCCAAGTACGTGAGATCGCTGCGAAAGTTGCTAGCTCACATTCCTATGATCGCTTCTCAAGGAATCACACTTGGTAAGTAAAACTTTTCTCGTGAGATTCTTACTTTTCTATCATTTGTAGAGATGATCCGGCCTTACTTGGATGCCGGAGCCTCGGCAGTGGTTCTCTCGGACGCAATCTTCGACTCAAGCTCACTGTCAAGCTCTTGTTTCGCGAAAATCACGCAGCAAGCCTCGGCAGCGGTGAAAGAAGCTGGAAAGAATGCGCGGTGAAAGATCTCGCGCAAAGAATCCTTGTCGGGAAAAAAATTCCATCAAAGAGCGAGCGCTTGCGAGAAGAACGTATCGCGAACTTCTGGAAAGAATTTCCGAGAAGCATCGAGCGCGCTTTCCATTCACAAGCAAACAAAGGCAAAAGGATGAAGAAAAGAAGGATAAAATAGAAAGTCTAGCCTAGCGGGTTTAAAGCCTTGGCTAGGGTTCTTCGAATTGACGATTCACTGAATGGTTCTTCCTCGTGAATGAATCCCTCCGGCGCCGGGATGTGTGGCGCTCCTCCATGTAAGAATCATCCTCCGCGGCGGCATTCCAATTGCGAGATTTCTCTCCTCGATCGCCGCCATGGGCTACAGGAGCTGCCTATCGCTGCCGGTGGCGGTGGTGTTGATGCTGGTGGGATTTGTCTACTACACGGTGGTATTTCTAGTCCTAGATCCGTGGCTTGATCTGGCCACCGCGAATGGCCTCGCCAATGCCCTCGCCTTCACTGCTACCACTCTCATGGCGCTGGTTTCTTACGCTCTAGCGATTCTCAGGGATCCAGGGGAGATTCCTTCTTCATATTTGCCCGACGTGGAGGACTCCCAGCAAGCTCCTCTCCAAGAAGTGAAGCGCAAGGTAGAATTTTTCTTTGTTCTTTGTTTCGCTAGTTACAATGCTAGCTCGCAGGGGGGAGATTTGCGCTACTGTCAAAAATGCAGAGTCTACAAGCCACCGCGAGCCCACCATTGCCGAGTTTGCAAGCGTTGTGTTCTCCGGATGGTAAGTTTCTTTCCATCGTTTCCTTTCCTGGTTGTGATCGAGCTTCGATGTTCCAGGATCACCATTGTTTGTGGATCAACAACTGCGTCGGTCACAACAATTACAAGTCCTTTTTCCTGTTCGTCCTCTACATCACCTCAGCATGCATCTACTCTCTGGTATTCTCGCGTTTGATCTGTTTTCGTTCGAGTTTTCACGTTGTGGAAGGTTTAGGTGGTGCTTGGCTTTCACGCGGTTGACGAGTTTGAGAGAGCTCTAGAGGTCGTGGCAGTGGAGGATGACGCAGCGATCGTCCAGCCGGTCAAGGCATCTGTGGCTACTGCCTCTCTTCTAAAGGTGTGATTTTAGTTTCCACAGTGTTTGGTTTTCTCTCTAAACCATGTCTTTGTCCACAGATAATTTGCGGCATCGTTGTTATTCCCCTCTCCGTTGCACTATCGGGTCTCCTGGTCTGGCATATCTACCTTTCCTTACATAACAGAACCACAATTGAGGTAAAAGAACTCTCAAGAACCAGTGTTCTCATTTGATTCTTTCATAGTACTACGAAGGGGTACGTGCAAAATGGTTAGCACACACCTCCGGACCTTATAGTCATCCATACGACCTTGGAGCTCTTTCAAACATTTTGGTAGTACGTATTTTCTTCATTCCTCTACTCGTGTCCAAAAGCAGCTCTACGTCCAGGTTTTGGGCCCCAAAGCGTCGTGCTGGTTTTGCCCGATGGCAGTAGGACACATTGGATCCGGCCTGCATTTCAAGACCTCTGGAAATGCCGCGGGGAAGTTATAGGTACCGATTTTACACAGCCCGAGCAGTTTTACGTCCGTTGAGAAGATATGTGCAAGAAGAACGTAGCCAGCTCCATCGCCCGGGCTCAACTCAAGGATAGTTTCAGTGGCCCGCGCTCCGAGCTCAAGATCGCCGTGGCTCCGACAGGTACGAAGAATGGAAGTCAGCTCGAGAGCGTCTGGTGCAAAAGGCATACTGGAAACAAGATCGTGAGCGTCTTCCAAGTGGCCGGCACGACCGAGCATGTCCACGACGCACGTATAGTGGTGCTTGGAAGGCCGCGTTTTAAAATCCAAGCTCATCGAGACGAAGCAGCGCACTCCATCGTAAACCCTCCCGGCGTGGCCGCAAGCTAGCAGGGCCAGCACAAAGCACGTCTCGTCAGGTGTAGACGTGGTTTTGATCGAGTGGAACGTCTCTATAGCTCGGTGGAAGTAGCCGCTGTGAGCAAGGCCAGCGAGCATCACGCTCCAGGCAACCAGGTCTCGCTGCTCCATCCGCTCCAGGATCTTGGTGGCCCGATCGACGAAACCATTCTGGAAGTTCGCAGCCAGGAGAACAGTCCAGGATATCAAATCTCTCGCAGGCATTGCTCCAAAGAGGCGCAGTATCTCGCGAAAATTCTCAAAGTTGGCGGAGCCTGAGAGGATCGAGTTCCAGGCCTTCAAGTCGTGCTCCGGCATTGCCGAGAAGATTTGCTTGGCCTCTTCTAAATGCCCGTGCTGCGCGAACGAGGAAAGAATAGTGTTCCAGGAAACTATATTTCTCTCTGGCATGACTTCGAAGACTTGCCTTGCTTCTTCCAGAGAGCTTCCATTCAATATAACATTCCATGACACCAAATCCACGACTGGCATTGATTTGAAAAGACTCTTCGCTTCCAAAGAATGGAAACGTTGGGTGTGAGCAGCGAGCATCACATTCCAGGAGACCAAGTTCCATTCGGGCATTCTCTCGAACAATCTCTTAGCTTTAAGAATATGCCCGCTTTGGGCATATGCTGATAACATAGCAGTCGTGGAAACCACGTCGGAGGTGGGCATTCTGTGAAACAAGAGCTCTGCCTCGTTGATTCTCCCCTCTTGCGAATACGCCGTCAGAACAACCGTCGATGTAACCACGCTCCATTCCGGCATGGAATTGTGAAGGGCGATAGCCTTGGCAGCATGCCCGTGACGGGCATATGCCGAAAGAATGGCATTCCAAGTTACCACGTTCCGGGCCGGAATCCTGTCAAAGAGTGACTCTGCTTTTCCCAGCTCGGCATTTCACTCGAAGCAAGACAGAATGCAGTTCCACGTCTCGAGATTCCGGCAGGGTATCTCCTGGAAAAACTTCTCTGCCTCTTCCAGATGCCCGGTTTGGGCATATGCCGAAAGCATCGCGTTCCAGGACACAGCGTCTCGTTCGGGCATGGTGTCGAACAGCCACTTTGCGCGCGTGACGTTTCCATTCTTTGCGTGAGAGACGAGCTGTGAAGTCCGGGAGAAGAGAGTGTCAGTGGTGAGCATTAGTTTCCCATACCTTCTTGCTTTCGATTGTGTGCTGAAATTCTTTCTTTCAGGTGTTCAGGATGATAGCAGCTTTTAGAAACCCAAGGTTCATATTCATTTGCGATTGGACGATCCCATCAGCCTTGCGATACGTCTGGAATCAGCAATTTTAACCAGCAATAAAACGAAGTTTTGGGAATAAGAAAGATTGTGCGCAAAAAGATATACATTTCCTACATCCATTTCTCGATCCTATTCCTGTCAAGATCGACAGAGACCTCCTAAGCATCAGGCGGAAAAAGGACATCCCTGCTGCGTCTCGACTTTGTCTCTCCGCAAAGGCGCTTCGTTTACGCAAAGTTGATCTCATAAAGATGCCCAACATACTTTCTGTAAGCACGCCACATCGCTGTCTCTGGTGGCTTTTTTATATCGTAATCCTCTGGCCGCATATGCAAACAGCGATTTTACATGCCGTTCCAATCGATCAGATGGAATCTCTATCACATACCACATGCTTTAGCTTTTAATGGTCTGCCCGATTAAAGACGTGATCCGTTCCTTGCAGAAACCATTCCGCAAAAACCTTGGCGACTCACACAATCAGCACAAACTCGGTACGGAAAAAGAAATTACACGACACTTACCTCTCATCTTCTGTACCAAGCCGGCCATCTTCAAAGAAGAGGACAAGCTTTTCAGACACTAAATACCAGAGACTACAACTTACACGTCAAGTTGTGGTCGTAATAGATGCGGAGGTCGTAGAGCGCCCGAGCCAGATGCAAGCGTGTTGCATGCAAGTCCAGATGGCATGGTAGTGCGGCAGGATGGACAGGGGCGGCCTCTGCGCGACGAGTGATCGCAGCAGCTTGTTGTTTTGGATCCCTTCAAGCAGCACTACCAGGTCCTTGACCCGCAAAGGTGCAGACTCTTTTTCATCGGAAAACGTACGCAGGCGAGGCGGGTCGACCGGGTGTAGTGCAAGCTGCGAGTAAGCCCGTCTTACTCTATCTTGACTACCAACTTTGCCCGACAGCATGTTCCATCCCTGTGGAAGAGACTTATAAGATTTCAACAAAGAAAACACGGCAAGAAGCTGACCAGCGTGTCCACTGGGAGAATTAAGAAAAAGTCGGCTTTCAGAAGTCTGGAGATTAAGCCAAGTAGCCTCGGCACTGGTGCGATGCAGGCGCTCCCCATCGTCATCTGGGCAGACAAGGAGAAAGAGAATGCTTTGCGCCAGGAGATTGGCATTGGCTGTGCCTGGCTGCGCCCTGCAAGCAGTGGTCGATGAGAATAGTTAAGCAAAGCAATGCTCTTACATCTGAATTCTGTCTTCCGTGGTGGAAGACAATAATCCATAGCGATGTGGCAACTCAGAACTCACTAGCAAAGGGAAACAAAAACGAAGGATATAACCTTAAGAAGTGGAAGAACTTTGTATAACAATCGTTGCAAAACTTTCGTTCATGGATATGCGCTCGAAGTGCTCACTCACCTCCTCGTCTTGTTCAAGCGACGCAAGGCAAACAATTCCAGCTGATCCAGTCGAGAGCAGCTGCTGGCGAGCAAAATCAACCATGCAATCCAGTTGCTCCCGCGCACCATCCCAAACCAGCGTCCCAGCACACGCGCTCCTCTCGGCGTCGGAGAGGCGCGTCATGTGGCACACTGCCAGCGTCTCGTCCATCTCGGCCGAGTCCCAGCTCCGCCGCAAGTGAGCCATACATGCAGCTTTGTGCACGTCGCCCCCTTTTCATGCAGGTGGGACAAACTCGAACACCGCCTGGAGCTTTTCAGCGCTCTTACATTGTGTGAGTGTGCTTCTTGGAGCTCAGCAGCGTCTCTGGAATGAGTTAAATGAAGCAAGACAACTTTCAATACCATTGACTTTCATTTACTTGTTGACTTTTTATTGACTTGCACTGACTTTTTCCGCTCGTGAAAGCTTTCGCATCTCTTTTAGACATGGTATCAAACTGCCACTTTGCGTGCTCGTCCTGGAGAAAAGAATGTAGGAGTTACCAGCAGCTCCACGAAACAGAGGTGCAGAGCCAAATTCCTGAATTACAAATGAAAGAATCGGTATTTACACCGCTGCTCTTATTTAGCCAGAATTGCTTGTGCTTCCCTGGAAAGCCAAATGCAAGTGGAGCTTGATGGATGAGAGAGCAAAATCACAACATTCGTACCTCTGAAGAATCGGCTACTCTTCCAGACTTGCTCCTCCTGCTTCTGCTAGACGCGACAATGATCGACTCCATATCATCCGGAACTATCCACTGCTGCAGAAGTGCCTGTTCTTGCGCTAAAGCTTGCTGATAGCCGGAAACCGAGGTCACGGACCGCCGACTCTGCGTACTGCTCAGTCGTGACGGATTATTCCTCATCACCCAGAGCACCACCACGCAAGGTATCACTTCGCCTAAACAACAAACCACAAACCATCAAAGATTACTTCTGAAATGCATCCATACCTATGAATGAATACAGAAAGAATACTACGGACGTGTATCGGCTGCGAATTTTAAACACCTGCAAAATAGGCCTGCCATAGCTGATGTCGCACAAAGTGGAATCAGGACTTACGCCCAAAAGAATGAAAAGAGCACGTATTGAGAAGCACAGCACCGATACGACTGCCAACCCTGCTACCTGAGAGCAAATAAACTTGAGAGTTTCCCCTCATATTTCCAGAAAACGAAAAAGATTCAAACCTTTTGTAACTCTGCTGATGTCTTTCCAACACGCAGCCTGCTCATCCTTGTATATAATGCAAGTCCTGGAAACGCCTTGATTAGAACATACGGTTCCCGAAAGGAACCCTCATACCATATCCTGCCAGGCCCCCACCGGACAAAAAAATAACAATGGCAAGCATATCCGAGTAGATCTGCAAGCAACTATCATGTCAACGCAGCATGGATCGATAATTATTTGTCACCTCGGCAACAGTCCCAGAGTCTATGAAGTTGTCCCCCATCCCGATCCATATCAGAATTGCACAGACTAAGGTGATCATGAATATCAGCATCACAACCTTGAAAAATAATTCAAGTTAGCACCAAATACCCAAGCAACTTGGAAACTCACCGCTATCACAAACTTCTGACGGCCATGAATTCTGGATCTCCACCAATGACAACAGCGGCGATGCTTGTCCGTGTGCACTGGGACTTTGGGATCCTTGCCGACTGCACCCTGTGCTTGAGCTCCATCAGTTTCTTCCTCGTCATCCTCCTCCTCTTCCTTATCTGTGGCTTGATGACAAAGATCCACCCTGATAGAGGATAAGTTTCTCGATACACTAGACAAAGGAAGCGTACCAGAACGATAACAACAGCAAGAAGGTAGCAAGAAACAGTATCTGAGGAACAGCTGCATCAATAAAGAAACACTCGTTGTCAGTAAAACGACCCAAGCGCACCCATTAAAGACGTACCCATGGCTATAAATCCACACGCATGCTTCCAGCAATACCATCCTTGGCAGGGTGCAATCACGTTTAGCACGAAATATAGACAATATCCTGTCCAAAACCTGTGTAACGTAAGGATTTTACACTAGCTAACAAGCGTACCAAGACTCGCCACGCCAATCAAACAATGAAAAACCTGGAAGGGAAAAACAGCAATCGAGAGAAGAATAGAGAAAAAAACAGGCATACCTTTTGCCGTGTCCACCGCAATGGCAGAGTATACAAGTACAATCGAAGAAGCTGCGAGAGTTTTGTTTGGTTAAAAAGAGAAAACTGCGGAAGGAAAAATTTTGCCCTGCCTGTGAAAATGCCGCAATAGCTATCAGCGCATTAATCGCAGCTAGGATCGAATTGGCGATGGTAATCTCCTGATCCAAGCATCTGCTCGCGCTCTGGAACCCAATCCATGCGCTATACATCATGCACCGCCAATGCTCAGCCCGATCCAGGCCCAAATCTGGACCAAAGCATTTTCTTGCTGGCGGCCCTGCTGCCTAACATCCAGTCCCTCCCCGCCCCTGCTCCGATCGATCGCGCATTTCCCCCTCTTCACACAAAATATCCAAACCCTAATCCTATAAACCCTAGACAAAATGTTTTAATATAAAAATAATATCTAATATAGTTAATAGATTGTTAACGATATTTAAAAATAGAAAGACCAAAGGAAACTATTGAGAAATTAGTATTAAGTGAAAAATACTTCTCTCATACCCATTTTGTTGTTGATTTTGTAAAATTAAAAAATATTTTATTAGTCATAATTTATATACCAAATAATTTATGTTATTTAATTTAAAAGAATTGTGGAAGATTGATACGATGGTTATTGGTTATGTAAAATAAAATAATTTATATTTCTGAAATTTCATCACTATTTACATGCATTTATGAATCTCATCCAAAATTTTAGCCAAAATAAATTTAAAATAGAGCTTTATAAAAAACATTATTAGATAAATTAATTATAAATTGACTTAGCTGACTTAAATTGTTTACACTATCTTATATATATATATATATATATATATATATATATATATATATATATAATATTATAAATTTAAACTTTTTTTTGCAGTATTATTTGATATGGAAATCAAAAAATTGTTGATGTAAGGTTTGTAAATACATGTATGTATATATATATATATATTACCCTAGCTAAGTAATACACTAATTATAGTACTATATTATTGAGACTGAATATAGTCTATCCATTCTTGTATATAAGCAGGGCCTAAACCCCAATTAATATACTTATTCCTATATCCTGAGCAATCACATTGGTGGAGTTGACAGGCAGTATAATTTATCCCTAAAGAGCAAAGTTTTTTAGCAGTGTTTTGCTTTAGTGTTTAGTATTGTGTTTTTTTTTTCTTATTTCGTCATTCTTTTTTAGATCTAAATTTGTATTAGCTTTTTGCAAGATCTAGAATTTTTAACTATTATTGTGTTTAAATTTGCTCTTTTTCTTAATCTTCATTGCATTCTCTTCTACCATGTCATGCCATTATATATTACTTGAGGCTGTTAATGCTGCTCTATTGGATTGAACTTTTGGTGCTGTGGGATGTGATTATATTGGTGTTGTGCCCATTTTTGGTGTGTTGCCATCTCCAGCTTTTGTGAGACGTGATTACATAGCTTGTCCTACTCTTGGCATTTTGCCATCTTCTGTTGATGTGGAGTATAATCGTGATATTAATTAGTAAGCTATAGATGATGTAGTCTAATTCTTGGAGAATGTTCAAAGATCAAGTTTATAGGAAGACAATGTGTACAAGTTTGAGTGGATTCCAGAGTGTGATGATAAACTTGATTATTATAGAGATAGCTTTGAAGATGAAGTGGAAATTTCACGGGATAGATGTCAATATTTCAATCTACCATTTGATTCTTTCTCTTTCCCTTCTGTTCTTTCCCAACTTTTTCTTATTTCTCAGCTTGAACTACCTTCTCATATTCCTAATATTTATTCTTCATCTGCAATGTTTTTTTCTCTTGGTATGTTGATCATTTATGACTCTTATGATTTTCATTCTCAATCCAGTGTTAAATTAATTGTTTTTTGTCCTCTTCATACTAATTTGGATGTTAAGTGTATCCATGAAGTTGAGAATCTTACTTTTGTTTTATTGGCAAAGTCTTTAATCAGTTTTGGTATTAAATATTCCCCTGTTCCAAAGGTTAAGTCACTTTGGCCAAAGTTTCAAATTGAATGCATATTCCCACTTGTGAATGCTATTGAGAGCCTTTGTTTTACTGTTGTTGCCAAAAAATTTATATATTCCTTTGAGAGTATGGATGTTGTTATTGATTTTCCAATATCAAGTGTTAAATTTTGTGTTAAGAAGGTTGAGTGGTGTGAATCTTTTGTTTATATTGTGGTGGCCGAAGTATTTTATAATGGGAAATCCTTTATTTTTTAAACTTTAAGTACATGTTCTTTTGATTTCCCTATTTCTACATTGTCAGTTGCTACAAATTCCTCTCCCAATGCTTTTATATCCACTTTTTCTTCTTCCACAATTATTTTTCCTCAATTTTTCTCTTTTTTTTTTTTTACCCCAACATTTCAAACTTTTTTCTTTTTCGGAGGAGGGGGTAGAGGGAACGGACTGGAGTCCAGCCCTAACGATAGAGCGAGGATAAAAAAATACGATAGTGGAGTGAGGACAAATAAGATGGATTATAGAGTGAGGATGAGCATAACAAGTCCGAACGGAATATTTAGCCCCGACATAATAAGGCTGAATGGATACAATAGTGGAGTGAGGTCGGATATAGATGGCAAAGTGAGGACAAGTGCAACAAGTCTGAATAAAGTTAGTATTTCAAAACTTTTTTTCCTTCAAGGAGGGAATAAAGAGAATGTGGAGGACAAATGGAGTGAATTTGACCTCCTTAATTCAAAGTTATGGTTACATGGTTGGTTTGAGCATTTAAGAGTTACATATGGAGTTGCAACTGGTTCATCGAGGTTTTGTAATCAATTAATATTTATACAATGGCTTTGGATTTTATTTCAGTCATGGTTATTAGCAACTTTGTTAATGATTTTATGGGAGTTTTAGATTTTTGAGGTAGTTTATAATTGCCCAGCAAAAGCTTCACATGTTCCATCTGATTTATTATCATCACCTTTTAATCTTTCAGATGGCAGGATGGTGTAAGGTTTGTAAATACATACATACATACATATGTATGTATATATATATATATATATATATATATATATATATGTATATGTATATATATAGATATATATATATGTATATATGTATGTATATGTATATATATGAGTATATATATACAATAATAGTACTATAATATATGGATTGTCCATTTGGGACTGAATCTGGTTTATCCATTCTTGTATATAAGCAGGGGCCTAAACCCCAATTAATATACCTATTTCTATATCCCGAGCACTCACATAATGATTTTAACTTAGTAATATGTATTTAAAAATTTATTATGAAGCACTTCAAATTATAAATTGTGTTTATTAGATAGCATTGAATAAATAAATTTATTTGTAAAACTCGAGAACTGTTAGAAGTTGACCAGTCACATCCATATGACTTGATTTTTTGCAAGTTGTGGTCCCCTATCAACTTTGGGATGGTGGAGCCTCAAAGGCTAGACTACTGAAGTCACATTCAGCTAATAAACAAACCAACATCTGAGGAAGGGTCGTTAAAGTCTGCTCACTGTGAACGCGCATGGTTAGCAGAGACATAGGAGTTCACAGAAGCTTGGCCTGTGAAGGCTTCTAGGGAGAGCTTAATACTCTTCTCAACAGTGGACGCTCAGCGAGTTTTGGCTGAATGCTGTTGGAAAGCCATTAACGCAAGTGACATTTACTGCTGCATCGAGTCCCATAGTCACCACAAATCAAACACCAGCTTCCGGCAAGCACCCAGCACCGTGGTCCACGTAACAACATTCGCTCTAAAAGGCATGGTCTTTACCACATCCACTGCTTCGTCGACTTGGCTTGCACGTCCCAATAGATCTGCCATACAGTGGTAGTGCTCAATGTCCGGGCTGACCCCATACTTCGACCGCATCACTTCAAAAAGGAGCTTCGCCTCATTTACCATACCAGCGTGACTACACGCAGTCAAGATGGAGAGAAACATTATCCCGTCAGGCTGTAGTCCTTTCTCTTGCATTGTGTGGAAGATCTCAAGAACTTGCTTAGTGTTTCCTTGCCGGCAGTAGCCCACTGCTAGAGCAGTCCATGTCACAACATCCCTTTTCACGGTAGCCTCAAACACAACCTCCGCATCCACCATTCTTCCGGACTTCCCATAAAAGTCCACCAGTGAAGCAGCTAGAACCGCATCGTTCTCCAGGCCATGTCTGCAAAGCTCGGCATGAACTCGTCTTCCAGTCTCCGAAACCATCAACTTCCCACAAGCCTTCAATCCAGCGACAAACGTCAAGTAGTTTGGAGTGCTGTCCCGGGATTGCATCATAAGCGAGAAGACGCTGAGAGCGGCAGAAAACTCCTGGTTTTGCACATAGCCCAGCATCAAAACGTTCCAGGACACGGCATCACGTCGAGGCATTGTATCGAAGACTCTCTGAGCGTCCACCATGCTCCCACACGAAGCGTACAAGTCCACAAGCGTGTTGAGAACGAAGATATCCAAGGTGCCACTCCTCAAAACCTTTCTGTGTATAGCCATGCCTCTTTCCAAAAGAACCAACTTCACGACCTTGCCATCGCCAACTTTTGTTCCTTCCTCTTGAGCAGCAGCAGTGGTGCAGGCTTTCAGCACCGCAACAAGAGCCCGAGCATCAGTCCCACACCCCTGTGCTAGCAAGCCAGGAAATAGCTTCACGGCAACTTCGGATTCCCCGCTTTCAATGTACCCTAGCATCAAAGCAGTCCATGAAACTACCCCACGAAACTTCATCCTGTCGAAAACTCTTCGAGCATCTCCCAAGGCCCCGCACTTGGCATAAACGTCAACCAGGCTGCTTGCCACGAACAGTTCGAGCTCGCACCCGTAATTCACAGCCAGGACATGAAGTGCCATTACTTGCTCCAGAGATCTAGCCTTCATCCATTTGCCGTCGATCTTCTTGCCGTCTTCGTTCTCAGCCAGACCGAGACAAGCCTTGAGCGCAGCAACGAAAGTTCTGCCGTTTGGAGTACAGCCCTCGGCCAGCATGGCTGAAAATAAATCCAAGCCGAGGTCACTCTGTCCATTTCGCACGTAGCCCATCACTAGAGTATTCCAGGACACCACTTCGCGGGCTTGCAGCTTGTCGAAGACACTGCGAGCTTCGTTCATGCTCCCACACTTTGCATAGAAGTCGATCAGAGTGTTTGACACGTAAATGTTCGAGATGTTGCCGCTTTCGATTGCCTCTGCATGAATTTTCCGTCCCTTCTCCAGGTCCTTTGAACGTCTGCACTGCTTCATGGCGTTTATCAGCACCGCTATGTCCTGGTGTTGTTCCTGCTTCGTAAATGTTTTCCTGGTCCGAAGTGTTTCTGGGGGATTTTGTAAAGCAGCCATTACTATCTCAGTTTTCCAAAGCTGCAATAAAACAGAACATGAGTAGTTCATGTACAAAGATTTATGGCACACTTACTTTCCAAGTTAAAAATTCTCAAGGAGCTTTGCAATGCAATCATCCCTCACTGAAATCGTCACCTTGTAGAAATACAGGCGGGTGAGCTTTGTCGATATCAGCTCAAAGGGTATGCAACACACAGTGCTCTCCGAAAAGTAATCTGACTGAGCCCGGGGATAGCGGATGAATCCTTGTTGGTAGAGCTCTTCCGCGGCCTGCAAGTTCAAAGGTTGCCGATTGATAAACACGAACCAACAGCTTAGAGATTCACACCTTCATTGTCTCCTGAGACCCAAGGCAATCTTTCGAGCGTGCACGAATGACCAACGGAAGATAATTTAACCGTAGCAAGAGGCTCTTCCACGCACATTTCATATATGGCAACGGCGGGTACATAGTCGAAGAGATGGCCACGCCTGCGAAACGTAGAAACTAAGCAAGCTACGACTTACGCCCATTTGAAGGACGCTCTGTCGTTCTCCGAGCTGTACACGCAGTTCATGGTCCAAAAACCTTCAGGATGAACTTGCCAGTATCTTTCAACGACAAAGCCTCGAGTATGTTGGCTACTGGAATGGAGATTCTCTCTTCTCTCGTTACCTGGCACGGGCCATGGCTCGTCAAATGGAAGAACAAAGCGGTCCTTGTCTGAAAGCGAGTGAAGGAAGCACCTCTACGTACATCGATCTCCTAGACATCTGTTAGAACCAAAAACGAAAAAGGAACTTCAAAGCTTAGAGAAAAACCTGGCGGGCGTCCACAGCATCCGAAAGATTGCGATCTGGCCGGGTGCCAATTCTGTGCAGCGTGTGCTGGATTACCCTGCAGAAACTATCAGTCCCAAAAGAAGAGAAACAATGGAAGTGTCTCGAAAAATGCTGAGAAGCGAGTGTAAGAGTCCACTAACATTGAGACAAACCTCTACCACTTCGTAGGCAATGTTCTCGCCTTCTCGATCAATTAACTAGCTAGAGCTTTCTCCCATTTCTCCTCGGCCGCAAGATACCGTTTACTAAACCCTAAAGGAACCATGGCGGAGGGAAATCTACTGATGGCGTGGTTGTGTGGAGGCCGGCCAATACGTCTACGAACTATGCCATGATGGCGTGTGCTATATCTCTTACAATGCGTCCTTCATGCAGGCCCTTTTGTTGTTTGTGTGCTTCTGATGAAGTGGCGTGTTAATCATTTCTCAATGCTTCAATGTTTACCTCCTCGCTAGTGGATTTTTTCATTTTTTGGTTTTCCTTTTTTTAACATTTGACGTGGATGTTAATTTCGTGCAACAATTAGTCTTCTTATAAAATTAAATAGGACGTACTTTTTGTTACATAAATCACTTATAAAAGTTGATATCTAGAATTTGTATAAGAAAAAATATTGTTTCCACTTTTTCAAACAAACCCTTTCAAGGAAATATGATTTATTATATTCCAAGATAGTTTTACAATTCCACAGTGTATATAATAAATTTTATATGTGTCTTATACCTAATATTTATAGTCTCTTCTAAAATTTTATTATATAATTTATAATTTAATTATTTGAAAAAAATAGTTATAGAATTATTGTTACCTAGAGTTATAAAATGTCATATTTATTATTTTATAGTTTATTCATAAAATTAAGTGGAACAATAGGAAATCTACCAAAAAATCTATTATTCTTTATAAATGTGTAAATATTTTAAAATTTTCAACTACAAAATTAAATTTCTTTAGAAAAATTATACTTTAATATTATCAATAATTACAAAAACTAATTAATATTTATAATATTACTGTAAATCTCTATTATTATAAAAAGAAAATTAAAAGCTTAGCATTTATACTTAACTTTTGTTTTTAATGCAGCTAATATCTGACTATATACAATTATAGATGATAATAACATCTTATAGCTAAATACATTAACATTCTTTTTTGTTGAAATACTATTACAAATTAATTAATTGTGATCCCTTATTCTCAAATTTGATATGATAGATATTAATTGCTATTTTTTATTAAACTCTTATGTGATAGTATACATTATTTATTATCCATATTACAAACTATATAACAAAGTTTAATAATTATTATATATATTCCAATATATATACATACATATATATATATATATATATATATATATATATATATATATATATATGTATGTATGTATGTATGTATATAAAATTTATGGATGAAGTTATTATTTATATGATCATATAATTATTGTATGGTATAAGATATAAAGATATAGTATCTATATGGTAGATATCATATCTATTTGATCATATTTAAAGATACAAGCTTTAGCAAGCACACAAAAGAAAAAGAAGTTAAGAATGAGATTATTTCCTATCTTCACATTATCAGGGTTATTTATAAAACCAAAAGAAAAATTAATATAGATTTATTAAGAAAAAAAAGTTGGGAATGAGATTACTTATCAGTGTTATTCATAAAACCAAAAGAAAAATTAATATAGATTTATTATTAAAAAAATTTAATTATATTTATAAATAAATTTTATAATTAACATAATTACTAATTTATTCTATAGATTTCCTTATACATGGTTCAAATGAAGTAATAACAAAGCCATCTGGATCTTCTATTTTGCTCCAAGAATTAGTCTCCAAATTAAAATAAGTAGGAGGGATATTGTAACCTGCATAAATCACTATATAATCTCCATGGATGCTAATGTTGAAACATGGTTCCAAACTGGATGGATCATCTTCAAATTCTTCTTCCCATTTTACTCCGAAAAATTCAGTTAAGAAAACCTGATCTATTATATTCCAAGATAATTCTATTTTGTCAAGTTCAAAAACACTGAAATACTTATCTCTGTATCCTCTTGGGCGGCTAAATGCCACCAGAATCCATCTTCCCTTGTGTTGAAATATACGATGGGCATGACACCTGTATTCCAAAATCTTCCTTGGAATATCTATCAATACCACAGAACTCTGCCACCTTTCCATGTCATCTGTTATTCCGAACACTTCAATCCCTCCTCCTCCAAGGGTATAAGGTGTAACAACAAACTCAAGGCATTCTTTGTTGTTTTCTATCCAAAGCTCAAGTAGACCTTTGATTGTTGTCCCAACTCTGCCACTCCCAAACCTTGGAATTGAAGAAGAAAACCTTCTTTGCTTGATCATGTTCTTTGAGCGGTGAAAAGTCAATACGATTGTTCCCAGTGAGGACAAATATCTTGAAACTATCCCTGGAACTTCCTGAATCATCATCCACCAATAGCTCGACATGATTCAACTTCCCGAGATATTTATCAAATTCATCCTCTTCTTCGTCTCGTGGAAATAATGGAAGCCCTTTCCACTGTCGCGTGAAAGTGTTTCCGACCCAGAAGCTCTCCCATCCGAAACTAAAGAAGAGGCCCTTGCAGGTTGCTAGGCAATCAAGGCCATCCTCCTCGTGGAATAGATGGAGGTCCAGCTTGAACCGCTGCTTGGAGGCAACAAACCACACCTCGTACTCTTGGTCATCCATACATACCAGCACACCGGGCTCGCTCGGATCTTTAATCGCATGGAGCCACTCTTGGTAGAGCTCTATGATGCAAGACTTCCATTCCTTGCACACGGCCGTGCATCTTGCCAGATCCCGCTTGGGCAGAAGCCGCCGCTCGAATAACGCACGCGCTACTTCCATACCCAAACAAGGAAAACAAGTCCGTTTAACGCCGAGCCGAAGGTTTGAGTTTCCTTTTCCAGCCTGTGTTGTTTCCAAAGTAGAGCAATCCACCCTGGCGCCTGGATGAATCGATGCAAGCCTCGCACACACTTTTCTCCAGTTTGGACGAGCAAAATGTGTTCAAACCTGGGGAAGAAATCGAGAGAACAAACAAGAAAGAAAATGAATCACAATGGAAGTGTGAGAGACAATATCAACACCACTTAGTGGGTGATGCAACGCTTGGACCACACCGATAAGCATGGAACGAGCGTCTCCTTCTTCGTAAACACTCGTTAGATAGTTATGCATCTCGATCAAGGCCTGTAAAGAAGCACAACAAAGATTTGTAAAAAGAAGAGGAAGATAGAAATCACAAAAGTTTTCCTGTGATCAAGCTGAGAAACTTCGGTCATGGCTCCTTTAAACCATTCAAAGGAGACTGTGATGGTGCTCCATGTGGTCCATTAACACAGGATATCTACTGGGAAAAAATTTAGAGATCATACGAAAAGCTAAGAAAACAAACTTGATACGACCTGCACATAAGCCATGAAAAACTTGTTAGTTTTCTTCACGAGAAACTTACTTGAGAGAACATTTTCATTAGCTCTTGCGTCCAATCCCCGAGGCTGCGTATGTGTACACTTACATACTCATCTCCCGGTGCGGAAGCTCTGGAGAATGGATGCCTGTAATACAAAAAAATCTTTCAGAAAAAAAAAAACTTTTGTTGCACACAATTCTAGCTTACCATTCGAAGGGTGAAACAGCCGGGCATTGCAAGAAGAGATATATTCCACTCTGATATCTAAAGCCCGGAGGTTTAGTCATGTATAAAGCAAGAACATCTCCTGGGTAAATGAAATATCGTTAAAAAAAGATCGATCAAGCAAAACTTGAAAAGATCCAACTTTGTTTACCTTTACAATGCTAACCTTCTAAGTACAAGCTTGTAGAGCGGTAGTTATATACATCCAGGCCTGCGAGAACAACGAAACACGAAGAAGAAGAAAGGTGTTTACCGTATTTTCTCTCCAGTCCCGAGCGAGGAACAAAACAATGGAGTGAACGATGAGAAGACCGTAAACGAGGACGATCAAATGGTGCGAGTACCATTTTAAAAGGCATTGAAGCCCGTCAAACCTGTGGAATGGCCAGTGGAGCTTAAGGATATTTCTCCTCGACCAGTGCGTGGCCAGCAAAAAAGCGATGATCATGAGCAGCAGCACCATTCATTCCCTCGATCGAAAGCACCAAATCCAGGTACGTCGGCTGCGCAGACTTGAAGTTCACGTGTACTATCTGTATAAACTTGATGTCGTCCACAGTGGAAATCCGGTAAAATTGCAGGTTAAGTGATTGCTGCTGCAACCAGCTGATCTAAGAAAGGAAAAAACAGAAGAACATGTAAGAAGCTCTGACTGTGAAGATTCGTCAATAAAAAAAGGACGACAATGGCGATGGCGATGAAGCAATGAAAAGTATAAGAAATGCATAAACAATAAAGCACGTCAAAGCACACCCAAGCCAAGTACCAGAGACGGCCGGAACAATACTTTAGCTTTTCACTGTCAGGATCACAAGAACAATCAATCAGTCAAGGAAGAACATTACGATCAACTGGTTGAAACGAGAGAAAAGAAAGCAAAGGAAAGAAACACCAGGGACCCGCAAGCAAGAGAATCAACCCAGAAGATGAAAACAAAAAGCCAAACTTGCCAGTCGCGGAGTAAGAAGAACTTGTAAGCAAAAAAACCAAACCACTGGAGAAGATGGAATTTGCAGCGAAGGGTAAGAAGAAGGACAAAAGAGAGAAATATCGCGGTGACGAAGAACCAAACACCAGACAAAAAACATACTTGCAACAGTAGCTGCTCTGAATCCCCGATCCATGTCAGAATGGGTGATCATGGATATTGGCATCACAACCTTCATAGATTATTCCAGTTGGCACAATGCTCAGGTAACTTGGAAACACAAACTTTTGACGGCCATGAATTCTGGCTCTCCACCAGTAGCAACAAGGGCGATGCTTATCGACTGTGGGACAGTTTCTTTCTTCTTCTTCCTTGTCTGTAACTTAAAGGACGCTTGAACGAAACAACAAAGTTTTGCATCAGTAAGTAAACAATCGGTGTCAACGAGCACGTACCAATGCTTCCAGAAAGACAAGGTGCAATTATGTGTAACACAATCCTGTCCAAAAGAAAAAGCGTATAGAAAGAGCATATCGCATTCACAACAAGGGCAGCAATAGAGTTCTCATACTCTGTTAATCATTTTGACATCTCTCTCAGATCTGGAAATGCAGCAAAAAGATTTGCATTTTAAAACATAAAATCTGGAGCTCTTACCAGAGAGAATGGTGAAATCAAATGTGTACAAAGGGGCTCTCACTCACAAGTCACGAGCTGAGTGTCGATTCCTCCATAGGCGTGTTGTACTAGGGGCTTGGACTTCATGGCTCTCCCGGAAGAATTTTGTTG